TTCTGGCACCCAAACTAGAAACTTCCTGGTATCCACATGCAGCCCTCTTCTCTCCATCATAATTCTGTTCTCAGGCTTACTTCTCTACCTTCCTAGGGGTAACATTTTATTAGTTAAACTCTTTCCTTTAATTTCAACTCCTCCTATTCAACCAGTCTTTTCTGATTAGATCCACATCAAACATACTCAAGACTAACAAAACAAAAAACAAAAACACAGAAAACCGCATTTTTTCGTGACCTCCTGTTTCCTTCTAGTAAAGCTGTTTGATCTTTCTACTCCCCTTCTTGCAAGAGACATCTGAGTTCACTGTTTTCTGCTTCCTCTCCTCTCATTCACCACCACGTTCACCACAGTGTGCCCAGGATCCCCGTTACACCATTAAAGCTGCTCCCTCCCATGGTTGCTGAATCTCACCACCGAATCCAACAGCCACATCTCAGCCCATAGCTAGCTTGACCTCTGGGTAGTGCTGGACATGTGGCCGCTTCCTCCTCCTTGAAATGTTCGCTTCCCTGGCTTTTTGCAGTGCTGTGTTATCCTTCTATCTCTCAGGCTCTTTCACAGACCTCTTGATGTATCTTATGAGTGGGCTCAATAATTGTTTACATTATTTTTTTTAATGTTTTTTTTATTTGGAGAGAGAGTGAGAGCAGGGGAGGGGCAGAGAGAGAGAGAGAGAGAGAGAGAGAGAAGGAGAGAGACAGAGAAAATCCCCACAGACTCTGTGCTGTCAGTACAGAACCCAACTCCGGGCTTGAACTCCCGAACCATGAGATCATGACCTGGGCCAAAATCAACAGTCGGACGCTTAACTGACTGAGCCACCCAGGCACCCCAATAATTGTTAACATTATTATTATTGTTGCTGTTATTATTATTATCATTATTAAACCCTAATCTTCTTGAACTGTTTCTAATTACTCGAACACTCTTAATTCTAGGCCTTCACTTATATGGCTCCCCCTTCCTGCCAGACTCTTCTCCACCTTCTCTTCCCTTCTTTCACTTAGCTTCTGGCTCTTCAACTTCACATCTCAGCTTAGAAGCTTCTCCCTCCTGCACATCTTGCCTTTCCTCCTTAGGTCTGGCTCAGGCATCCCTTCTGGGTACTTTCCTAGCAACCTCTGCTTTCCCTGTCATACCACTCTTCATGTATACCGTAATTACCAAATTATGTTTTCTTGGCTCAAATAGTCTCTCACCGTAAGTTCTGAGGGCTTCGTTGTACCTGTTTTTTATCCCCTCGCAGAATGCCTGGGTCCCATAATGGGTGTGTGCGAATGAGTGAATGGATGGGTGGAGGTGGCATTATTGCTGTGTTGGATTGGGAATTAGTATACCTTATATTTTTAATGCTACATAGTATTACCTGTGTGAACTCTGTCAAGCCCCTCCTCCAAGCTTCTTGCTCTATACAATTGAGAAAAGTTCAGCAATATTCCCAAGGGCACTTTGCAGGTGCTCTCTCTTTTTTAATCTGCACAAAGGCCCAACACAGTTGAGACTTTGATGAAAGGAGATAATGTCTGCATCTTGTCTAGCATGGATGGTTTCCCAAGCAGCGTTCTCTTCACCAATGCCATCGGTGAAGGCAGAAAGGTAATGTTCTTTCTTTATCTGTAACTTGATTCAGGTTGCTCGCAAGCACTTGTTTTTGTTCAGTGGAAAATAACACGAAATCTAACATTAACAGCAAACTTTCAGCTTTGCCATTCAAGGTATTTATTTAGTCTCTTCTGATTTAAAAACAACAGGCTCGTCCAAGTAACTCTTCCAAGTCACTTTGAATTTACTCTTTTAATGTTTTTTTTTAATGTTTATTTATTTTTGAGAGAGAGAGAGTGAGGGAGGGGGGGCGTAAGGCAGAGAGAGAGGGAGACACAAAATCCAAAGCAGGCTCTAGGCTCTGAGCTGTCAGCATGGAGCCCAACGCGGGGCTCAAACTCATGAGCCGTGAGATCATGACCTGAGTTGAAGGTCAGGTGGTTAACTGACTGAGCCACCCAGGCACCCCTGAATTTACAGTTTTAGATAAATGCAGTGTTTTAGCATTCTCTCCCTGCCCTTTCCTTCCCACGCCCTGCCCACAGTGGAAAAGCAGCCGGAGAAGGCCTTTGGCCTGTGGTCTTTAGGTCCTCCTTGCATCCACTGATAGTGTCCATCCGCTGCTTAGAGACCACCTTGCTGAGCCAGCTCTGCCTTGGCTCTCATGGGCACTGAATCTCCTTGGAGGCTTCCACAGCTCCAAATGGTACTCTACCCCGCCTCTGCCTCTAGCCCCTGCTACAGGTGCCTCTTCTGCAAACAATGGCAATCTCCTGGCAGGCAGGCAGGCTAGCTCTCAGGTCTGAGTTCCTCAGAGCCTGTGGAAACTTCTGGATTACCGTCGTAAGAACTTGGAGGAGACAAGGTATGGAAAAAAGAGCATCCACAAGGGTTTTTATGGGCAGGGATTTTATGACCTGTTTTCTGATGTAAGTGTTTTGTGCATTAGTAGTTTATAAAAGAAATCATTGAATGAGTGATTCTCTAGCCATCTCTCTGCCTAATCATTGCCACATTAGTGTTTCATGCTGTCTTTGATTCTCATTTTATCTTGGATTTCTACTCCCTCTTCAAGGTTGTAAACCCAATGTAGGAATGAGGGTGAGTGGGGCCCTGAGCCAACCTCTCATAGGAGTCTAACCTATGTTACCCCCCTCTTCCTTCCCTGGCACAGGAGCAATTTTATTTACATCCTCCCTGATGGAAAACAACCTTACATCATATTCTGCTTTCTCCATACTCCTTGTCTTAGAGGACCATATGTCTTGTCTTAAGGTGACCGTATGTCCTGGTTTTTGCCTGTGGTGGTCATGGTTTATGCCCATTGTCTCTGTGTAATTAATAGGCATGCCCCTCTTTGCTCTCAAAAATGTCCTGGCTTAGATGGTAAATTTCATGGCTACTCTGCTTTTGATAAACACGTGAAACTCAGGCCTCCAAACTTAGATTTCTTTTTGATTTAAAGCTTGGCTTTGGGAATTGCATCAAAACCCTTTTCTACCCCAATTTCCTGCCCCTTGCAAGTAAAGGCTTGGTTTTTATGACTGTTGTTCTAATGAGGGAATTATAACATCTATTTTTTTTAATGTATGTTTATTTATTTTTGAGAGAGAGAGAGAACACAAGTGGGAGAGGGGCAGAGAGAGAGGGAGATACAGAATCTGAGGCCTGGGAAGGCTCCAGGCTCTGAGCTGTTAGCACAGAGCCTGATGCAGGGCTCAAACTCATGAACCTGGAGGTTATGGCCCGAGCTGAAATCAGGTGCTCATCTGATGGAGCCACCCAGGTGCCCCATAACATCTATTTTAAAGACAAAGATACCCAATAACTTTAATTAGGAGAAATGAAAATGTTTCACAAAAGAAAAAACAAACATTTAAATATGGCAACAGCATGGCGCCACCAATCCATGATCCTGGGCAACACATTGTCCTGGTGCACATTGGTGGGCCTCAGATACTCAGGTGATTCCATCCCTTAGAATTAAGAACTGTTAACATATTGTCCTTTTGACAAATTTTAGAAAAGAAAGAAAACATTGTAGCCAGAGTCTTTTTTTTTTCTTTTGATTAGAGAGAGAGAGTGGGAGAGGGGCAGAGGGAGAGAGAGTGAGAATCCCAAGCAGGCTCCACACCCAGTGCAAAGTCTGACTCGGGGCTCGATCTCGCAATGGTAAGATCATGACCTGAGCTGAGATCAAGAGTCAGACGCTTAACCAACTGAGCCACCCAGGTGCCCTCAGAGTAATTTTTAACCAATGCAGTCACTTTATTCTAGGCTATGTCTGCCCATCCCCTGAGGACAGTTTGTAGAAAGCTGTAGCTCTTCTTTGAATAGTGAAGAGTATGTTGAGGGTTAAGATAATTCATAAAATATATTTTAATATAGAAACATTAGCTGAGTATATAGGCAATCAATGAATGTTGTTTTCCAAATCTATGTGGTAACCCTGCTCATCTTATTCTGATTAGAATCAGAGCACGTTGCTCTGTTTTGGCAACATGCATGACATTGATTTTATTTTATCTATTTTTTTAAATGTTTTTATTTATTTTTGAGACAGAGACAGAGTATGAGCAGGGGAGGGGCAGAGAGACAGGGAGACACAGAATCTGAAGCAGGCTCCAGGCTCTGAGCTGTCAGCACAGAGCCCGACGTGGGGCTCGAACTCACGGACTGTGAGATCATGACCTGAGCCGAAGTCGGACACTCAACCGACTGAGCCACCCAGGCGCCCTGCATGATATTGATTTTAAAAAATGAAAAGATGTGTTCATCATTAAGTCATTGCGAGAAAATTATAGTTAATCTTAATTAAAACACGTAATTTGGTAAGCAGGATCTTTTAAAATAAAGTATCCATGGGATGAACCATTAAAACATGGGGCCTCAAAAGGTTTTAAAAGAGGCTGGGAATCTTTTGCAGGCAATAGAATGGCTTCAGCGACTGAATTTCAGTAGGGTGTTTACTTTCAGAAGTTCTTCTGGTAGTAGTGAAGGATTTGCCCTGAGGCATTCACACCCTCCGGTAGTTTGTCTTGTAAAAGATTGTTTTTTTAGGGTGGTTGACTTGGATTAGGGTTCAGAATGCATTACGAATATCACTTTGGCCTCATTAGACTCAGGGGACAGCTGACTCTGCATTAGGGGACAGAGAGTGACCACTGAGGGCTGATGAGCAGTGACCAGGGTTTCCCACAGTCATTATTACTGTGGCTTCCTAAACATTTCTCCCTAATATCACTCTGATCCTTGAGTAGGAAGCAGAGCCTGCCTCCGGGGATACCGGTGTGTTTAAGAGGTAGAGTCTCCAAGAGGATGTGGAGGAGCAGTGGGGGTTGGACAATCAGGGCCAGTCTCACATTATTACTACCTTTCTCTCTTTCATCTACAGTCCGTGAGCTTATGCCTCTTCCTATCTCTCTTCCTTTTCACCTTCCCCACACCCACAGATGGGGTGGCCGCCTTCCGCGCCTTTTTGAAGACCGAGTTCAGCGAGGAGAACCTAGAATTCTGGCTGGCCTGTGAGGAGTTCAAGAAGACCAGATCAACTGCAAAACTGGTCTCCAAGGCCCATAGGATCTTTGAGGAGTTTGTGGATGTGCAGGCTCCGAGGGAGGTGTGTTGGCGGTGGCGAGAGTCTTGTAAGACCTCTATCCATGGCTCCTGGCTCACATCTCTCTCTTGGTGGGGGTTTGAGCCAGTCTTGTTGGGGACTGTCTTCTGAACTGAGCCTTGCTGCTCTGATGGCTCTTAATGAAAAGAGGATCACTTCTAAAGTGCACAGCCCAGGGCTTCTAAAGAGGGACTCTATTAGGAGTGCTTTAGTTGTCTTTCAAACATGTGCCTGCAAGACCTGTGTTTCTATAGGGATTCTGTAAGGATAGATGCCATTGAATCCATGTTAGTTTTCCTAGTGGAAGGCAGCACAGGTTAATGGGATGAGCATCCACTTTGGAATCTTATTCCAGTCTCAGCTCTACCAGTTAGAAGCTGTGTGGTCTTATGTGAGTTATCTAGTCTCTCTGACTCCCATTTGCCCCAAAGTGAAAGTATACCTTTCAAGACTACTCTGAGTATTAGGGATAAAGCACCTCGTCAACATCTGTCACTGCCTATTAATGAGTCATTACAGTCATTTATATTATTTTATAATAAGTTATTATCATTTATAGTAATAAAATGAATCTCTATATATGGCTGTGCTGAGTTATAAAACAGAATTTTACTTGGGAGGATTTTATAGAAGCAAAATGTTTGCTGTCTACGAGTTTTGGTGTGCTATATACCTAGGACTCTTCAATTATTCTTTGACTTGGGAGGTGGGAGGTCTTTGCCCAGGGCCAAGGATGCTGTAGACCCTTTAAAATGCTGCTTAGAACAGAGATGTTCATTCTAACCATAATCTCTCCTCCTGGGGCATTTGTTTCTTTAGTGGTTAAGAACAAACAAGAGGGCAAGCTTCCTTTAGGGAATCCACATTAATACTTACCTTCAGTCTCACTCTTTGCTTGACATCATGAAGACCCCTGGATTAGGAGTTAAGTGATTTGGGATTTTGCCTTGGCTCTGTTACTAACTTTCCATACTGCTTTAGAGCAGCCTTTTAGTATCTCTTTTCTTCAGTGTCCTTATCTGTAAATTGAGACAAAGAATGTCTGGTCTTCAGACCTCACAGGATTCTTGCTGGGATTAAAAGGGATAACCTCCATGAAAACAGTTTGAAAAGCATGACTAAGCTTACATATATAAGATACTGTCATTAGTAATTATTACATAGCTAGGAGCAGTTGCCAGGCACCTTGGCCCTTGAGGGCCTGTGACCATGCTCTCTGTTTGTGTCTCCAGGTAAACATAGACTTCCAGACCCGAGAAGCCACGAGGAAGAACATGCAAGAGCCATCCCTGACTTGCTTTGACCAAGCGCAGGGAAAAGTACACAGCCTCATGGAGAAAGACTCTTATCCCAGGTTCCTGAGGTCCAAAATGTACTTAGATTTGCTGTCCCAAAGCCAGAGGAGGCTCAGTTAGACCTCAGATGGGGACTCTTGGAGATCATTGGCTTCCCCCCTCCCCTTGCTGCCAAGACCATATTCTAATGTGAAATGTCATAGGTGTTCAAAAAGCAATGGCGTTTAGTTTGGGAGCCTGGGGAATGAGGAGTGGATGAAGGGCCATTCCAAAGTAAGATCCAGTCACCAGAGCTCGGACTCTATTCCATTAACCCATGTTTGTGTTTTGGTTAGCGGTAGCACCTTGCTGCTGTTACCCTCCTTCTGGGTCAGCAACTTGCCCTTCACAATGCCTTGGGTCATTTCCGCTGAGAAGGCAGATTTGCTATGCTGGGCTAATGTGTAAATAATGCAAATGCAATTCTCACCACTTCCACACCCTCCTAAGTTAGGATTCCTGGCTCTAACTTGTACTATACCCCTGTGAGGAATAGCTAGAAGACTCTGGCTCACCTAGGTGATTTGCTGTCACAATGTAGTGGCCAGTGCTAGTGTAGGAGAGAGGTTTGTGGGGAATCCCAGGTTTCTAACGCTGTCATTGACAGGTGGCCTCTGGGAGAAGGGGCAAACTTCATGGAGCTGGCTATTTCTTCCATTTCCACTAGACCAGTGTGAAAAGCTGTCATCACTGCCCATCTTAGCCTAGGAAATTCACAAGACATTTTTACCCTCACAATTCCATGAAGGGTCTTGGGAGATCTCTTACATGATTTCTGATGTGGCGTCTGCTTTTAAGAAAGATACAGCTTGCAGATCTTCCTTGATTCTACCAAGAAGTATTCCAGAAGTCGAATGACCAGGGAACATAGCTCCAGTAGACTTTTGTGCAATGGGGCTCCATATAACCTCTCTGTTGCTTAATGTATTCTCTGCCGTCACCTCCCTGTGGCATCACACATCACTGATCTCTTAGAATGACAGACAGCTTGGCAAAGGGAGGTGAATTCCCATAGCATGGACAGCTTTCATGGTGCCTAATACTTTCCTTGTCTCTCCCTGTCCCCCCTTCCATGCAGGTCATGTAATTATGATGGGGGAGAATGGGAACTTAGGCTGTAACTCTTCAGCTTGCTTCCTGGGAGCATGCTTTCTTAGAAAGGTCTCTCTCATGAGGGCCATCTTGGCTATTCAGCAACTTCCTTCTTGATCTCTGACCTTTTGGGATTGAACATGGAACAGGAGGTGAGGCTAAGATCACTGTGAACATCTGGCTGTGGAGAATCTTCCTAAAATGCTTTCATGGTACCCTGAGGCTCCTTTTGGAAATGTGTCAGGATACTCTTCCTTGGAGGGTGAGCTTTGTAAAGCACCCTAGCTTCCTGAGAAAAAAGTGGACTTCGGCACAAATTTGCAGTGCCAGGGATATGAATCCTCAGCAGAGAGACCGGAAAGTGGAAGAGGAGTCTGGAAGAGGCTGGTCTCCAGGTGGACCAAATAGTAGAGAATATGGTGGAGTTACTATTGGGATAATTCACAGCCGGTGGATTTGGAGTCATTGCAGATCTCCACAACTTTCAGCTTGACTAAATGAAATAGCTGCGATTAGGCGTAAGCTCTGGAGTGCAGGCGATTGAGAACTGGGCTGAAGCGTTCTCCTTTTGTGGGGTGATGGGCCCTTTAGGTACACAGGATTCTGGTGTTTGCATTCCTGTCCAGTAACTTTGTGAATTTCTTCCTTCCTTGGCTGCAGCTAGACAAGTTCAAGAAGGCTCTTGAGTCCCACTGGTGTTAGGGTCCATTGCTCCGCCATGACACGTTGTATCTGTAAGTGAGGGCTGGTGAGTCTGTCTGAACCATCAAGGAGAGAACACATACCTCTTAGCCCTCACACCGAAGCACTCTGTAAAATCTCATGTTCAAGAACTCCGATGCCTCAAATAGGTGTTGTTAGATCAGGTAGTGTTCCCCTGCCCCCACTGGTAAAAAACCATTCTTAGCTAAAGCTGCCAGAATTAATTTAATGATCAAATTCTTGAACAGGGTATTTTAAACATTGTTTACATATGAAATGTACATATTGTCGAATGTCAACTCTACTGTCGAATATGAGGTGCATGTAAATTGGAACCGCACAGAGTTATGGAAAAATGAAATGTTTCAGAGGGGCCTTTTTACCACTTCCACTATCCCCAGGAGAAGTCTGAACAAGACTGTTGTGCAGTGGCCTCACTTGAGGCCTAGAGTTCTTGCCAACCATTGGTGGAATGAAGGCTGCAGATGGTGGTGTCATGGCGCCCAGTGACTTCCTCCCACTATGGGGAGGCGTGAAGGACCAAGCTTGGGTATCCTGAATTTTGCCGCTACGTGAGCGTATTTGGGCATGTGTCTGTGTGTAGAGGAATGTGATGGCTATATTTATGGTACTCCCGTGGAGTGTCTGCGTGCATGTGTGTGTGTGTGAGACCATTGTGAGCATGAGTCCAGGACACCACAGAGACCATCTTCCCATGGGGTAGAGCTGTCCTCACACCCTTTCTGTCCTGCTTCCCACAAAAGGCACAGAGCTCTCTGCTCTGATGCCTATGTTCAGGCACTTAGGTCATGCCAACCCAGATTTTGGTCTGTGACGAAACAAAGAGAAATGTTTACAACATCTAGAGCAATATCAAAGCATACCTCATCCATGACCGTCCATGTCTCCCGGTCTTGCCCTCTTGCCCGTCTCCTCTTCCACAAGCCCTCATCTGCCTCACTAGGTGGGCCTCTGCAGGTGCCACTTCTTCCATTTAAGGTCTTCCTTTTGTCCTCGTGCCAGGCTTGTGCTGTGGACTGCCTTCTGGGCTTGAGGCTTGCTCTGGGCCTGGGACCTCTGAAGACCCAGGGCAAGCCAGGGCAGGAGGCCAGGCAGAGCTGTGATCTTTAGGACTGCTCTCCACCCCCAGGTGGCCTTTTGGCCCCACTTGCGTGTCAACCTGTTTTTAGGCTAGGTGTAAGATTTCCCATTGCCTTTGGCAAACCAAATAGACCATAATCAGTAACAACCATTCATAGCCCCGAGGCACCTTTGGGGTGAGGAAGGATCCTCTGAGCATGCCCAGGCTCACCCAGAAAGCCTGTTACAAGTGCTCATTCCCAGGTTGCACACCCAGAGATGCTGATCCAAAAGACCTGGGTTTTCAGACCCAGAAAACTGCATTTTTAGTAAGTCCCCATAGACCATGCTTTGAAAAAAGATGTTCTAAGACAGTGGCTCCCACCATTGGCTGCTCATTGGAATCACCTGTAGAGTTTTGAAATCTAAATGTCCAGGTCCCACCCCAGAACAGCTTGGGGCCACGACCCAAGACATCAGCAGTTTTCAGAGCTCCCCAGGTGATTCTACGTGCAGGTGAGGTGAGGAAGCACTGGCCTGAGGAGTGAGGATGTGCAGGGCTGAGCTTATGCAAACGTGTGGCCAAGAGGGCTGGAGCAAGCCAAGATGCAATCAGGCACAACACCCGGAACCCACCAGCCCCGAGCTTGATTCGGGGAGGCTGCCTCTGTGCTGTCTCAGTCTGATTCGCCCCTTTGAGATCAAAACGTTCCAGCTGCATGCAGTGTTCGGCAGCGGGTGTGCCGATGGCGGGGAGCTCTGGAGGGTATTTGATTAAGAGAGGTTTTCCCACTCATCCTGAGCTTCATTCGCAGTGCTTCCTCCAAGCTTGCCTCCTGGGCTGCTCCCTCGTCTGTTTGCTCTCATGTACTCTGTGTTTGGCCGTCTGCGTTTGGTTGTGCCTCTGTATCCAAGGCCATGGGATGACGTGGTAGTTGAAACTCAGGTAGCAGGGGAAAGGGTGTGTCGGGGTAATAATAGCGGAAGCACGACAACTTCCAGGTTTCTCATCAGAGGGTCACCCACCCCAGGAATATGCTCTTTGGAGCTTTCTTTTCCAAGGCCACAGTGGGGCTTCAGTGCCTGCTGTTAGCCCTTACGTTCGCCTCTTTGGTCTCAGGCTGGGTGGGCAGATGAAAGTTCCTAGTTGATTTTATTCTCTGGTGCTCCCCCTCCCCGCCCGCCCCAGAACTTGCTGCTCTGAATAAACCAAAGCTGTGAAACGGTGTTCTGCCCCGGGCGGCAGGCCCAGCCTTCGGGAGCAGGGCGGGGTGTGCACGTGCCCCGGGGCCCTGGACTGTGAGGGAAAGACACAAATCCATTGTGTTGAGAGCTGGGGGGGGGGGGGGGGGGGGGGGGGGAAGAGACTGAAGAGGAAGGAACAGGGTGGGAAAGACAAATGGCTGCGGTGCCGGCTGCCTCTCCATGAAGCAGAAGGGAGAGGTGAAAGTGGCACAGGCAGAGGCAGAGATGGTCCCCATCGACACGAGCGCCCGGAACCATCCTGACCCTGTCGGTGCCCACTTCCACGCAAAGCAGAGGAATCTGATTTTCCACCTGACACTGTCCTTCAGTGCGCCGAGCGTCAGCCCTCATTAAGTATGCGTCTCTCCGGGTCAGAAGCGGGAGAGGTGGCAAAAGTCACCCCTGCCTTTGAGAACCTGTGCCACTTGGCCTGAGATCGTGGAGGAAGAAGCCAAGAGCAGAAATGTCTTCCTGTCCCTGTGGCCTCTCGGGACCGCCCAGGGATGCCGTGGACCAAGATGGGAGGCTGCGGGACGGGGCCACTGGCCTTCCCAGGGTTGGGGGCCAGGCCAGCTCGAGAAACTGCTCCCTTGTGGATCGTTACTCCCTTTGGACCCTTCGGCCGCCTTCCGTGTGCCGTGTGCGGGGAAAGGTGGCCGGCGGCTTGCGCTCCAGCCGCGGGAGCCCTAGCTGAGTCACGCGGCGTGCACCACAGATCCGTAGCCGCCCAGCTGCCATGTAAACCGCTTGGCTGACGGAGTCCTCATTGAGTTGTCTCATTACTGTGCAAAGTGGGATAATGTCATTCACCTTTACTATAAACAAGGCTGTGAGAACATAATAAACACACCCTGAACACGCTGCCCTTCGCTCTCTGCCCACGTTTCTGGCCAGCTGACTCTTTATGAGGAGACGCTTCGCACAACACACGGGCTCCCCCAGGGGGGCGCGTGGCCTCCCCA